CTCCAAAATTGTTTTGTTATTTTTTTTTATTGTATAGAGATAAATGTTTAATTTAAAGAAGAGTAAACATTCAAAATAATCTCTAGTCAAATCAAGGAGAAAAACCCAAAGCCGCCAGCCTTCCTCGGGTGTCTTCCACTGCCATGGATTCCGGCGAGCTGTCAGCGTCTGAGCCACCAGAACCACCGGACATACTTTCCATCCCCAATCGTTTCTTCTCCATCCGAGACACACCTTCCACTCCCTTTTTCTTTCACCTTTTCCAGAACCAGATCTGGAATCTATGTTGGCTCAAACTTTTTACTTCCAGGCCTCGCAACTTCTAGTTCTGTGGCTCCTTCTCCGGTGTCTTATGGAGCCTCTCTGCTTGTGTCCTTGCAAGGCCTTACTGCCTTGTGCAGCCATTATCAGATTTGTTTCCAGGTCCTTTGTTTCGTGAACTTCTCGAGTAGAGTCTCCAAAAATCGGGCTCTCCTTGTCGACTCCTTGCAACTCCTTACTGCAGAATGAGATTCCTTTATGTGTTAGTCGTTGACTTCAAAGTCAAGTTGTTACGGTTTGGAGATGCATATCAACCGAAGCTTTGGCGATGTCCTTACCGATCTTAGCCGCATCTAACACCGGCCAGACTCTCCTCACGAAGCCGCTACAACCATCCGTCACTGTAACGCCCGTAACCAAAATTGAGAATTTTGGAAGGTTGATTTGAACCGGTTGGTTCGATTTAATTGTCGGTTTGGCGGAAGGGTTAAGGGAACCCTAGGTTTCGACTATATAAGTCGTGCATGCCGCCTTTGTGTCATTTTTGGTCAAAAAAATAGAGAGGAAATAAAAGGGTGAATTTGGAAATTGGTTATGTTGATTTATTGGAATTGAATAATGTCGGTTTAATTGAGTTTTGCTTCCGCTGGTTAATTGATTGTGATGTTGAATTTGTGAGTTAAATGACTGGTTCGTTGATATTGAGGATTAGTCGTTATGGAAATACTAATTCGATTATGTTTAAAAACGGGTCGGATGGTTTTAG